CAAAGAGTGGGAACAAAAGTACGTCATGTAGCTACACGGGGAGCCACAGAGAGGGCTGTCCAGGAAAGGGCTCCTCAGCAGAAGAGGTCTCCCACCAGCCCCGGCAATGTCTGCTGAGAAGTTAAATTCAGCCAGTGCCCGGGCCAACTTTCATCTGGCTCCCAGTCAGAACGCTGGATCTTATTGGTTCTTTGAAGTCCGTCAGCTGCTGTGTGTGTGTGTGTGTGTAATTTTTTACACTGAAGAAAAGGTATGCTGGGCCAGCAGGTGGCGTGGTGGTGGGCGCTGGATTCCGACATGGTCGACTATGGTTCAAGTCCTAGACTTGGCAACTTGAAAAAAAAAATACACAAACCAAACAAAGAAAAACCCAGATCCTATTGGATAAATATGTTGTCTATGAACACACATCTATGTGAAAACCTTTAAAGAAACTGATGGAAAATATTCCTAAATCCATCATAATGGCTAAAAAAAAAAAAACAGGGATCACGAGGTGAGGTGAGGTGGGAAATGGGAGAGAATGAACCCACGACCGGGAAAGGAAGCAGGTTCGATTGTACTGCCAGGGCTTGATGTCTCTTATTTTAAAAGATGAGATAAATCAAATCCAATCAAATCACATCACAGTTATTCTAGCTTGCTGCACAGGCTGCGGTCTACGACCCGGAGAAGCAGGGTGTCCAGGACCAGAGTGCAACGCTCCGCCCACCTGCTCCCTCCCTGCCTGTCCCGAGCTGGCACCAGCGGGTCCTGCTCCATTTGGTGTAGACCAGAACCTGGCAACGATGTTTCCTCGCTGCCAGGCAAGCTCGCCTGCTCAGATGAATAACATAGTGGCTGAGCCCTGAGCTATAATTAGACCTAATATGGATAAGCTTATCAGATGGAAGCTTAAAAGTAGAGTGAATTATAGGTTTACGGTTACAATGTTACTTCAAAGAAGAGAGAGAAATGTAATTTTAAAAACATACATAGGAGAGTACACAGCGTGAGACAATGAGCAGGCACATTCCCCAAATACAAAGACAGCGTTCTCTGGGTGGTAAAATGTACAGATGATCTCCCAAGGACGGAACAGAGTTATATAATGTAGCAAAGGAGCACCAAACCACGCCCACATAGGGAGGGATCCCCCAAGGAGAAGACAGAAGATCGGGCAACATCTGCAGACAAGTCAAATTCAATTAGTGCCCGCGCCAAGTTTTATCTGGCTCCCAGTCAGAACTCTGAATTTCACTGGTTCTTTGAAGTCAGGCAGCTACCCATGAAGTTATTAAGAGGGGCTTCGAATAATAGCTAATAGTGTCCCTCTGAGTGGGTTTAGGCTGCGAAACTGTGTCTT